TGATCAAAACTGGTTTTAGGAAGCCACAAACATTTCTATTAGGCTGTTACAAGGCATAAATAGCCATGATGGCTACTGTTTGGCCAGAGATTATTCAACTTCCAGCTGTGCTAATAACCCTAAACCAAAGATAGGTATTTTTTCCAAACTGCTAAACAGTTTAATTATTTCCCATGCCAGTGCCTCCTTTTTCCTTTGCTGACAGGCTCTTTCGGAGAAGGTATTGCTCATTCCTTCATGAAGTGATTTATAATGGATTACTTTAGCATAATACTCCAGGTTAAAACACCTCCCAGTCCAACGCTTATCTGGACCTCCCCAGACTTTGTGGTTCACATTGCCTAACACTTTCCACAGTCAAGACTACATTCTGTTTTGTTGAACACTGTTTTTTAACAAAAATCTTTGACAGCCAGGGACTTCCCTAATGTTTTTTCTTTTCCTCAAGAAACTGTCCTACTTCATCTTTCTGCTACTGGTGCTATCATTTATTCACCAGGAAAACCTACAGAAGTTGCTGATAAAAGTTTTAGAAGACATTTGGTAGCCCTTCAAATGACATCTTGACTAGAAACAGTAGTTACAGTTGTTTTAAAAGGAGCTACAAAACTCATCATTATTAGGTCTTTTCTCATCCATACAGTTCAGAAGAAATTTTTCATCTGCTTTTACACCCGTAAGGCTGCAAAGGCTCTGTATTCCTTTATTAACACTGTCATCAAGTTACAAGACAACTGCTGCACACTAGCACAGAGCACGTCTGTTCCTTAGGAGAACATGAGCTACTCAAATTTATTTGCCCAGGAAGCTGCAGTGACCACTCTCAAACTCTGGGTATCTACATCCCCAAAAGAATATTAAAAATATCAAAAAGCACACAATTTTTTTTCTTCATTAGAAAGAAGGATAATAGATTCCATGTTGCAATATCAAGACACTGTGGTAATTGCAGGTGGTTTTAGCTAAAATGTAGTGCATTAGAAGAAGTAACCTTGCAAGTTTATTAATAATAAGAAAGAACTTTCCTGGACAGATAGACATCTTGCCATCAAGATGTATACTGGGCAAAAATTAAATACCATCTGAACTCGGTTAACAGAGAAATGTCAGCACTTTAAACAAATTGATTTTTCAACCACTTTGCAACTGACAACCATTTCTCAACATACATTCTCTTCATTGTTACCTGGATTACTTACATAGTCACATTCAAACTCCTATCTGAGCTAAGCTAAAAACAAGGCATATATGAACTGAAGAAAACATCCATACATTCTAATACTATAAATATTCTCTTTTTATCCTATTATTCTAGTTGTCTATACAGAAAAGGTGGACAGGAGTGGAATGTTTTTAAAAAAATCCATATCTGGTCCAATTGCCAGTGTCCTTAATCTCGCAGAAAAGAATTTTGCGGTACATAAATCTCAGTCATGGTCACATACCAGTAGTTTATTAAAGTCAGATAAAACCATAACCTGGACTGATTTCAGTAACTTGACCCTGGAACTAAACCAGGATTCTTGCGTTATCACAATCCTCTACCTGTACGATAGGGGTACTATTCTTAGGACTGCTTTCTGAATACAGCAACATACCTAATAGAAGAAAATTCTACTTGCAGAGAGGCTTTGGGAGGAGAAATATTTACTAATCATCATCATCTCTGTTCTTCCTAGTTTGCAGATAAAAGTACTAATTTTTTTCCATGAAAGCATTACTAATACTTAAAATACACAATGAAGAAAAGCTCATACCACATTCAGACTGACAAGTTAACAAGTCTAGCCTGCCACAGTAGTCTGTGTGAAACTGTAAGAAAAATATTATGTTTTGCTCTTCAGTTTGTGCCCAGTCATAATCAGCAATGAGAACAAATATTTACAGTATAACCACCTTCCTGTCATTCCATTACGTCTTATTTTATCACTTGTATCTACTCAGGTAGTATGTAACACACAGTAAACTCTACACAAGGTCAGTGAAGACAAAATACAGATTTCAGGATGATTAGTGACTACACTATTTACTACCAAGGTTTACAAGCAGTGTCAATAGATGCTAAGGTGCATCTTAAGCCTGCATGAAGTTTCATTTATTTCAGAAAGGCTTTCCATAGGTAAAGGGACATGGTCATACAGATTATAGAATTAGGTCTCAGTGTACTATAACAGCTCAATCCAAAAATAATAAATGCACAAAGTAGCTCCACTGGAAGTAGGACTCTTCTATGAAAGTCTGCTAATGGCACTGCACTGTTGCACTGATGAATGAGGCTATAAAATGCTTAATTTATTTCAGAGTTTTAAGCAGTGACTCCGCAGCAAAAAAGATTTGCAAAAAAATAAACTCAGGAAGTCTTTAAAAAAAATTACTAAAAATATTAAACATGATGTTGTTAGTATGCTCCATAAATACTACCGTTGTCCAGACAGAAAGAGTGAAATTACTAACAATAGCTAACATGAATTTGTCTGAAGTCAGCATTAAAATATTACAGCTGATAAAAAGAGAAATGGTAATCCTAACATGTTTGCTTTCTGTGATCACTTCATAGCATAACAGCTGAATAAACTATTATAAAGAAAACAATGGAAGTATCATGTGTTTTTGTATACATACACGTTTCAGCTCCAGTAAAATGACAATCTGTTGGGTAACAAAATGCCTGCTCTACAACAATTTTCAGATTATCTCAATTGCTCTAGCACAACAGGAAAGGACACTGTTGAAATACTACAGACAAAACCAACACTGTAGCTGGTATTGTAATCACAGTGTTTACTCACCTAGCTTATTTTCTGAACAATTCCTTCCTAACAGAGAAGATACTTACATTATGATTTTACTGGAATCACATGGCTTCCAGAGTTTGCTACTATCAGGAAACTGCTATGAAGACAGAAGTAGAAACAAGTTCTTCATTTCCATTTGGCTGCCTCTGATCAGATGAATTTCTACCTGCTTGCTTCAAATGGGTGAATAGTAGGCACTTTAATACAAGGATTATCTTCAAGCTCTATTCTACCCATTGGTACCATCCAGCCTGGAGATACCCAAACAGTAACATGATCCAAACGGGCACCAGAAAAATACATTAATCAAACCTTAAGAAACTGTTTCCTAAAGGTTTTTCTGTTGTTGCTGTTTCATATAGTTGCTTCAGATATTCTAAACTTAGTGTACCAAGAGTCAAAGGTAAAAAACTGAAGCTCTAATAAGACAAATAGTGTTCTTTGCCACAGAGCAAGCCTCAGGCAGCAAAACGCTATGTAAACACTGTGAACTGAAAACTCCTATGAAGCTCTTTAAACATTGCTCCTGAGTACTAAAATTGTGAATCTAGCAAACTCCAAGAACAACAAACAAAATTCAATTCACCCTAAGAACTGATGAGAGATGTTTCCTAGTCAGAGAAAAACAATGACCCTTTGCCTATAAATGTATAAGCAACAATATATGTATGCTTCTTCCAATTATCTGTAAATCTATTGAAATAACAGCATCAAGTCTCTCTCTTGTCCATCAACAAAAAGAAAATGCACAGGGATGTTTTTCACTTTATATGTAGCCCAGAAACTACAACAATACTGTACTCGCTCACTTTCCATCGAAGTGCAAGATCTTCCAACGAAAATCCTGCATTGTATGCCACGTGGTAGCAACATGGCTCACTATTAGTAGTTTCCAGGTGCTATTACTTGTTTCTAATCTGCCTTCAGGCTAACCAAGATGAGAGACACAGGAAAAAAAAAAAGGTACCACAGGGCAAGCAGTAGTAAACCACACATGCAAAGGGCTGTTGTAAATACCTATAAGCATACTTTTACTATGTGGCAAGAGAGACACAAAGGTCTAGCTCACCAAGAGATATGCTTTTAACATCCTGGTACAGACAAATGCAGTTACAACAGAGCAGCTGACACAGCAACTCTGTTGGTATACTGTAATCAGGTAATCACTTGTACTTCTGCTCTCCCGGACTTCCTTTCAGTAGTATTACCCTACCAAAGGCAGCATCTGCTTCTCTGCTTTGACAAATTTAAGAGGGTAACACCCTCTAAACAGAAGTATTTATTTTTACAGGAAACTCAAGCACAGACAAGACTTAGGAGCACATCTATCAACCCATTTACCAAGTTGCCCTAACTCTTCTGCTCTGCTCCCTTTTTGGGACTGCAAATATCATTAGCAGGGCAAACTCACACCTTCCTATGGGTCAGGACAGCCAGTATCCATTTCGACTTGGGTGGCAGAGCAAAATGCAGGGCAATAGACGAGGCAGTATAAACAAGATTCATTCAGTGTACCAACCACATTCACAGCTGAGAACACTAAGGGAATCGAGATGTGCAGGTGAAGAGGTCAACAAGGCATTCTACCACCACAGGATGACTCAAACACTTTGAGAAGTTGAAAGGGTAGTGAACAGTTCATTTGCTGAAGACAAAATTAATGACTTCAAATGACATTTTAGAACATGTATTTAAGTTGAAGGTACCAGGTAGGTCATCTCTGTGTGTCAAATCATAAGAGCTATTAAGCAGAGTAGGGAAGGACATTTTTAAATCATAACCAGTAACAAACATAATAAATGTTTTCTTTCAGTTAATAACGAAGAAAGTGCATATGGGAGAAATGCAGAGCAGATTCATACCAACCCAAGTAATTAAGCTTAGAGAGAAAATGTCTGCCCACTTTCATCATTCTAAAGTGCAACAATTTAAAGTATGAAACATCTACTATGAACAAGGGAGACTATACCCCTTTGGCAGAGAATCTGATTTTCTTCAATGTGTTCAAGTTACCAGAGAAGAAAGTCTTCCTTTGGGCTTGTAAAAGACCACTGGGCTTAAGATTGCCATTGATACAGGCTAGACTTTGAATTTTGCTTTCTAAGACATTCCAAATATCTAACACTGAAAAATCACGTTATGGCCAAGAGAAAAAAAATACAGATTTAACAGCCCATAAATATTTTAAACAATTGCCATGCCCACCTGCTACATTAAGCTTTTCAACTGCTCCTAAGCTGGGAGCAGGGGTGGTGGTGTTGTTGGTAGAGTTTGCTCCTGTTCCATTAAGTACAAGATTTTCCACCTTGGACTCTAGCTTCCCAATGCGCTGCAAGATATTATCCAACAAGACAGCAAGTGTCTTCTTCAAATCTACAAATGAAAATGAAAAGTTAAATTGCTTAATAATGCAATGCACACTGTCAGACAGAAATAGATACAAGAATGTGACTGGAATACATATATAGACACTTTCTCAGTGCAAATCTTTGTCATTAGCACTTCTATACACTAACGTTCCCTACTCTGTTCAGCCTCAGATACAAGTTTCCCTTGACGTGGAACTTGTCTTCCTGTGTATTTTATAAAGCATGCTGCAACTCATATACACACCCTGTATGCAAGGCGAAGTGTGTGCCTTTAGGAGTGCACACACAGGAACAAAAAAATGCATGCTTTGTAATAGCTCAAGTAATAAGAAGCTGCTTAAATAATGAATCTAAGCGTAAATCCCTATTCAAGCACTACCAGAGGAACAGTCTGTTAGATGCTCAGTCACCTGGAAACAAAAATCCCCTTCCCAAAAGGGACAGCTTTGAGCCAGTACAAAAACCTTCTTCTGCATCTCCTCCATCACAATCAGGTTCTGCGCTGGCAAAAAAACCCAACCAGTTAAGTTGAACCTTCTGTCCTATACACAAAACACCATACACCACCTGTTTCGTTTCTTCAGCCTGTTGGTGACTGCCTCTACATATCTATTTGGTCTGACACAGCACTTGCTTCCCATGGAAAGCAACAAACAATAACAGGAGTTTGCGTATCAAGTGATAACCCAGAAAGAGTTTTCTGATATTTTTTGTTTCCCTTTTCTTTTGTTCAGATTTCTTGAAGTAACAGAGTTGGGCAAGCTAAAAGAACTGTGAGCAAGAGGGGAAAAATAGACCACTATCAGACTGAACTGTATGATTATAATGGCAACAAGCCAAAGAAGATGAAAGAAAGTATTGTTCTTTGTTCATTTACGCTTGTCTCAGGATTAAAGAATTTGGTATGACAAATTTACATTATTTTCCCATTTAATTATATAAAATAATTACACATGCATATGTATCGCACATTTTCTGCTTTTCACAACTTTAGATTCAAATAACTTTTTGATCTGTAATAGAAAATTTCTCCATACATCTGAGGGGACTCCTCTGCCCCTACATCAGTTGTATTTTTGCCACACTTATTTTGTGCTCCCTTTTTTTTTTTCTCCATGGCTAGCCCAATTCTTGTGCAAATGAGAGAGTAAATAAGAAAAGGCTATTACTTTTAGAAAACTTATGATTTTTTTATCCAAGTAAAAAGAGAGTTATATTTATTCCATGGAGCCACAAAGTAGATCTTTTTCTTTATAACTGTGTGTTTTCATTTGTCCTTTAAAGATCAGAAGATGGAATCTTAAGCACTAATAATCTGAACTATTTTAAAAGGGGTCCAGAAGTCACTTAATGGTATAGTGTGCAGAAGAAAAGCAAAGAGTGGAGCAGGGATTTAACATGAACAAAACCATGGTACAGAAGGAGGAAAAATCTAGGAAAAAAAAAGTAGTAAAAAAAATTTCAGGAAACAATGAGGAAGAAACGTAGCATACATAAAGGCATACACAGATGATAACGAGAAAAATGGCTAAACATTGTAACTTCTTAATACTGGTACCAAAACACCGATATGAGAGACTGGTTACCAGAACAAAAAAAGCAATTGGAGGCTGATTTGAGAAGGGGAGGGCAGAAGTACAGATTTGTAATAACTTCTGTAAAACAACTACTGCTATAAAAATTTAATACTCACTATGTATATTTGGACTACAACTTTTAAAAGGAAAGTGTTTGATCCACCTAGTGACAGGTGAATATATGGTAGAAAAAAAAGTGAGAAAGTGAACAAGATGTGAAACTACAATTAAGGAATGACTGCAAACCTTTTGGGTGGGTAAAAGCAGCCAAATCAAGCAAACATAAAACTTATTCTTGAACATGGAAATTATGACTGTGTTTACTAATAGCAATCAGAGGATAAGATTAAAAGAAATAAAAAGGCTAAATAGCAAGGGTGTTAATTTTCATAGAATAGTGAACCAACTTCTGCTGATTATCATTAACATTAGTCATTAATGTGTTTATTCCTGAACAGCTAACCTGATCATTTCCTATCAACAAATCATTTGGTATGCCAAACAGGACAACCTAACTTACTTATTAAGTAATCATCTTACCCAGTTTCATAAAGTATTATTTAATATGGTGTTATTCACTCACCATAGCACCTTTCCCTCTAACATTTTAAATAAATACATTATCATTATTTTGCATCCTTCCAAGCTCTTTAACTGAAAACACCTGTCCAAATTTGTCTTTAAACTTAAAATTCTTCTTAGCCGTGGAACTTGAAATTTCTACACAAAACTTAGCTTTACCTTCACAGAAGCATTACAAAACTATTTCACCCATTTTCAAATGCAGTTTAACTTCTCCTAAGGAACCTGACCACTGTTTGGCAGCAAGTCAACTTATTCCTCAGCAAGATTTGGAACAGGAAATGAACGCCACAGGCAACAAGCTGCAGGGGGAACTTAGCTTAAGGATATCCTGTACCCCCAGACCTAGCTAGGGAACATATTAATGCAATTACCCTTCAATTTCTGAAGGCATATTGTTGGGGGGTTTTTGCTGGTTTTTCTTCTTCTTCAATTCACCTACCATCAAGCACCCTTACAAGATAATGGCACACTGATGAAGGCTATATAGCAGATAGGGTTTTGTTTTAAGCCTACACACACAGTTCTCTAGGGATCTCTACTTGCTTGGAGGTCTTCAGTCTAAATATTGATCTAGTACCACTCCATTTAGTTTGTGTTGCTTTGTAAGATTACAATACCCGTTTAGTTCAACATGCAGTCACAAATCAGTAGAAGTTACAGAATAAGGACGGCTTGTTATTTAAGCAACAAAGCAATATAATTGTTACCTATGTTTGCGATGATAAGCTCAGGCTTACAGGCAAGCACTTTCACACAAACTCAAAAATTCTTTTTTTAGAGGAAAAAGGTGGTAACAGAAACAAGACCTGGAGAGAACCTCCCAGCAGGATATTTTTATTACATGCACCAGAAAGTAAAGAGTATTAAGAGAAAACTAGAGAAAAAGGTACGGCTATAATCTGTTGCATCCTAGTCTTTATTCTTTGTCTAAACCTACAAAACCCATCTATCCAATTTCTTCACAGCTGAATATTCAGGCAACTATAAAAGGAAACATATTTCAATGATTAATTAGCCATTAACTTTCCAGATAGCCTGAAAGGGCATAGGCAAGCAGGAAAGAGTGAGTTTAAAAAAATGCTAAACAAGTAAGGTGGATGATGTGAACTTACCAGATTGAAAAGGGGCCACACCTAACCTGAAATTGGATTATATTTTTATTTTCCTAATATTTTCTGGTAATATGCTACATTCTTTTCTGCATGCTGTGTCTCATGCATGCACACAAACTTACCTCTCATGTTGTACAAACTGGAAGTGAGTAAGCATTAAAACTTAGTGCCAAAGCAAGCACTGAAGCTCACAGAAAGAGTTCTCTACTCCGAGGCAAATATGATATATTTAAGCTTAATTTAAGCTTATGCCAGATAAATAAACTGAAATGTTACATAAATTGACTGAACAAAGAAGTGAAATGGGAAAGAAGAAGAAATAAACATAGCAGGTCTCCACTTTATCAATAAGGCAAGTTGTTCTTCCACAAGGAATTTCATAGATCACTGACACGCAAACTGAAAAGCCTCCCAAGTTTCTCAAAAACAGCAGAAAAGTTTTTTTTAAATGAAATTCTAACAAATAACCTGAGGCACACTAGATATAGCTACTAGACTTATGTAGTAAAAATTAGCAGACAACTTCTTCTCCAAGTGACCGGAAATGTAAAATTTGTCCTATTTCATACTTACAAGTAAAGACTATTTTCTCCATTTGTGCAGAAAATACACAGTGTAAAGTATTCTCAGTTGAGCAGCACTATGAAGTAAAATGTTTGTACAACTTATAAAAAAACTTAATGAGATTATCATGTAATCTAGAGCACACACTTACCGTATGCTGTCACTGTTCCGACATAAGGCCCATCAACCACATTTTTATTTTCTTCAGCTAATGCTTTGATGTATCTTTTGCTGAGATCCAAAATTTGCTCACGCAGGACTGAACTGCTTTCATGTTGTGTTTGCTGCTGAATAGTAAAATGCAGAAGCATCATTCCCCAAATGAAACCAAAAGTCACCAGAAAAAAGCCAAGTTTCTGAGAGGACAACTTCCATGGAGAGAATGCCATGATTCCCAACAGCTTCACTGAGTTACTACAAAGGTTCCTAAAGTATGAAGCCAAACAGCAAGTTCATGGTCCAGGTATATAAATATCACAGAGCAGGACTCAAGTCTTATTCCAACTCCTTAGTCAACGTATATCCGTATTTCAGTTCCATCCTGTTGCAAGAGGAAAGAAAAGAAGCATAGTTACCACAACATATTAGAAGTTTTTACTAGCTATACTAGGTCTTCACTCTAACTGGTACTAATAGGAGTAGACAATATTCTTTCTTTGTAAATTTGTATGTATAAACATTGCACTGTACTAGCCAGAGCACAAAGAAGCTGAGAAAAGCACTGGAAAGAGAACAAAGACGGAGTGATGCGCCTGAGCAGGTGTAGAACACCTCTCAGTATCTGGATCAAATTCAATGCTTGAAGCAGTTTCTAAGCTGAATTTCAAGGTAAGGCTGCTTTTACATTTTATTTGTGTGTGTGTGTGTACACAAAACTTTGTGATGTTGCCAGTGCAGCAATTTAAGACAATTCTCAACATAATTCAGTTCTCAGAAAACAAGTAATTTTAGCTGGCAGTGACACTGCTCAGAGTTCCTGGCAAGAGCTACGGCATATGGCTAGATAGGTGATCAGGAAATCAGACTCCCTCAGGGGTAAAGAGGAAAAAAGAAATCTACATTATTTAAGCCAATACACTCTCCTGGCTTACACTGCAAGCAGTCAGAAGGCTGGAATAATCTCCTCTTGCTCCTGTGTGGCCTCTGCCATGCATAGTTACTTGTTATTCATAAAACATAGTCCAATGAGTTTGCTCTTTGCAACTAAATTCAAAACACATACTTCTGAACACTACAACGTGTCTTTTGTATATAAAATTAATATTCTTGGAGCTTTTCACACACTAGGGAAAATGAATTGTAATAACGGCCTTCAAGACACAGTAGGACCGTCTTTTCATGGTAAAATCAAAGATAAAACCTGGCATAAACAATCCAAAGGCAGGAAAAGCTCTGTGATGAGGGCTAGAGGGAGGGTCCTTAGCATAAAACCCAGAGAGAAGAAAGGCAATTAAAAGGTAATTAAGTGTAACCTATCATGTTAAAACACAGATTTGGTAAAATGTTATCCTTTTAACTTCATAATGCTCCCAGACAGGATTAGAGAACATAATGTTCCCTTCCATTCTGCACTTGCACAGATAATGCAGATGTTACTCTGTTTTAATAGGATAATTACACAGATGCCTGCTAGCAGTGCTCCCTGTTTGTTAAAATTCCCTTTAGATCTTCTGCTTTTAGTTGAACCAGCAGTTCTACAGAGGGACAGAAATACCTTTGGACCACTTCTCTTCCAACATGACTTGTGTGTGCATTTAGCATTATTGATCATTATCGATTGCAGAAGTGAATGTGCATTACATAGTAAACTAAAAGCAGACAAGGAAGCAACTGTATCATGTATTTGCGAAGAACAATTTGTAGCCATTTTTTGCTTGAGGAGGAATGGTGTAGAAAAATGAATTGCAAGTACTGCGAAAAAGATTACAAAACCCTCAAGTTGACTTCTACCACACTTAAAGTATCTCAATAAAGAAAATGAATGGTCTCAGCAGAGAAAATTAAGGACTCTGTTTAATGCTGCTCTCCATAAACTTGTTACTTTTCCAAGAAATGGCAGAGGGAAGTTTCACTTCTTTGAGTTTATTTAACAATAGCCTTGGGACACTCTTGGGCTGACTAAAAAGTAAAGTAGTATTATTTCATTAAAAACTGAATGTTTAACTGTTCTCTTGCAATATCTGGTGTGATAACATACAAAAAATTCCATACTTTAAAACAACATCACAACTTTAAAAAGAAATCCGAAATATTCAAGATTAACTCCCTCAGTGACTTAATTTCAAGTAAGAATTGACAGCGTCCTCTACAGCAATAAGGTCTGTTGTTATAACAGTCTGTATTTCTTCCCCAATTATCAGTTGCCTGTGAAGTGGAAAACATTGAAGAAGAAAGTAAACCTATCACCACCATGTTTTAACAGACAAGTGTAAAGATTTTTTTATGACTAACTGTTTAGGAAAAAAACCTGCAGAACATAATTAACATTAAAAACAGCAATAAAAAAATGCAAGTATTTCACAGTTGTCTTTTTAAAGTTCTAGAACAGAAACAATGATGATTACAAAAAACTGTGTATGTCTAACCTATAAGAATGATCTACTTAAATACAGTTGTCAACTTTTCTATTCTGTTCATCAACAGAAAAAAAGCCCTAAATCCACTCAAAAACTGTAAGGTAGACATGAAATATTAAAGTTCTGCCATAAGAAAGGATTAAAATTCATTGACAGATGGAAGAACGGCCCCCACTATTTCAAGTGCTAAAAGAAAAAAAAAAACCAAAACCCAACCCAAAAAGTCCAAACACTACAAACCAGCCCTATTTTTACTGCCTTTTAAGCAATTCCAGTGGATAGCAACTTGATGAACACCCAACAACATATACTTAATTAACTTTACAGCACTGCTGCTGGCCATGGAGGTTTGTAAAGCACACAGGAGAAGAATCTCTGTCCTTCCCACCACTTCTATGGCTGGATGCACACCTGCGCCGACTTCAGTATATGTTTAATTCTAGATTTGACAGATGTCAAGGACCGCAACACAACTATTCCATGGTTAATGATTACCACATAACTATAATGTCTCATTATTTGGTATCTAAGTGGACAGTGACCAGAAGATATCAAGGGGTTTTGTGGAATGCATAAAGACAGGAGGAGCACAGAAAAGACTCCGTGGTATTTCTATCTTGACAAGAAATTAATAACTGAAGTGAGCAATAGTTGAAGCAATGAACACACATTCATCTACTGTAATCACTCATGGACTTTGTTAGTGCCTGCTGACTAGTTATCTCTCTGCACTCCCAAACTTAAGGTGGTAGAATATTCCCCTTATTCTCCCCCTTGCCTTATAAATGTTCTCAAAGCAGCTGATCCTGTTAACCATTAAGGCCTTTTCCTAGTCTAGTCTCCAAAATGCACAATGGAAGGCATATCTAAAGAGGATATGGAAACACATATTTGTATGTGCCTCTGAAGAATGACAGGCTTTTTCTTTTTTTTAAAGCTTTGGAAAGAGGTGGTCTCACCCTAAGACAACTCTTGAAATAATTCCAGCACCCCTCTGGAAACTGGATATGTCATAGTTGTGAAGTTGTGAAACCGTTAGGAAGATAATTTCTCCTGATTTACTGAGAGTAGCTAATGTACCAAAACTAAACGCCAAGTGTGAAAAACAGGGTGAAAGTGAAAAGATACACAAGGCAAGAAAACCTTTAACAAAGAACAGCTTTGTTATGTTCTTCCTTAAATTCAACTCCAACCAAAATTTCACCACAACTGAACCAACAGACTGATGTTTTGTTTTGTTTTTTAAACAGATCAGTTACACCCTTTGTGATGAACATATCATAATTAAAAACAGAATTGCCACTACCCTTAATAAAAATGATTAACATATTTCTTTGGAAAAGGGCTAACCTTACACCCATTTACATAGGCATAAGAATTTTAACAGTCTTAGTACTTTTAGTATTTCAAACAGCTTCATTAAAACCACATTTTTTTCTGTTCTATATTTAATAAAATCCTGCTCAATAGCTGGTCAGTTTACTAGTTACAGAGGATAACATTACCATGCCTATGTCATCACAACAAAAAATGCCTCATGCTATTTAGAATCGTATCAGGAAGATATCCCAATGCTAGAGTGATCCGTACATCAGGGATGCAAACCACACATTTCTCAGCATTTTAAACCTTTTCTTTTTTTTTTTTTTTTTTTTTTTAATGTTTAAAACAGAGTAGAAACAGTTAAACTTCATGTGAACAGATTTTGGTGACACATATCCATGTATTCCTCTTCACTTTTTAAAAAGGAGAAATAATAATCTACAAGAGATTAAGCGAAGTCTCTTTGTAAGTATGTACATACACAAAGCTTGATGCTCTCTGTCCAGTCTGTACCTATTTAAGAAATGGTAGTTACTCAGAGTAAACTTGGAACAGCACTATCCTCAGGATAGTAGTCAGGATTCAACTGGTCATCAGTTGAATGCACTGCTCACCACTAGCTCCACAGTTACAAAACATTAACTATCTGTAGCCACAGCAGATGCTGTTGCACCCATAAAAGTAGCAGCAGATTAAGTAATATTTAATTATTAGCTTGTTACAAACTCAAACATAAGCAAACTTACACAGCATGACTAGTAAAAAACATATATGCATTTTTGTACCAAATGGCTCAATAAAAATAGTATTGCCACTGCTAGAAACAGGCCTCAGGCCTCATGCCAACTGCGTTCCTACGCCAAATGCACAAGGCCCAAATTCTGGCCTCTTATTCTTGTGAAATTATTAGGAGAACTTGTTGTGTGAGCTAGAGCTGGGTATCAAGTGCCTCTTGTTATGGTATACAGCTTAGATATAAGCACAAAGGCCTTGAAAATATGGGCATGGGTTGAAAGCAGAGGCCCCAGACCTGTAAGCAACTATCACACTCGAATATCTCACCATCAAGGACCATAGCTATCACTGCTAAATACATGGCACCAGCTCTGTGGTACTGTGTGCTCACAATTAATTTATAATGAGATTGTTGCAGACTAATTGCTTTGAATATGCAGTGGTAACGACTAGGAATGAGTAAGAACTAGCCATTAGCAACGTGTACTGTTAATGAATATCAATCTAGTGAAGTTTTGTTATAAATTTTAAAGCTGGTTTAAAACTGTTTTATCAGCCTTCTAAACTTTCAGTCACAGCAATCTCTCATTCTCTTCTTACATATATCCATACACAAACAATGTGTATTCAGTTGCAACATCTTGCCACCATGCCTGACCCCGCACAATTTGTTACTGTATCGCAACCACCTCAAAGAGGTGCTATTAAAAAGCCCACACATCAGGATCCTCATGCAAATACTGATCTATTTTCCAGATTGTTTTCTGAAGAGGGCACACTGCACTTCAGCTTGCAACTGTTTGATTCTGTAGAACAACTTGTTACAGACCAACTGAGGACAAACATCAAGATGTGAATTTCCTCTATTCTTATGAAGGGTGTGTTAACCTAAAAGCTAATGAT